TGCCAATCGGCCCAAATTTGACTCTTTGGTGCAACATTGACTAAAAATCGGACGAAAATATATATGTAAGCTATATCGAAATCTTAACCGATTTCAATAGGACAGGCTACTCTAATTTTTGTATGTTGTTCAAAATTTCTTTCCAATCGGCCTAAATGTGACTATTTAGTGTCCCATTTACTAAAAATCGGACGAAAATATATATGGGATCTATATCTATATCTGAACCGATTTCAATAGAACTTGGTACACGTTAGGCTACCCTAACGCCAGTATGTTGTGCAAAATTTCTTTCCAATCGGCCTAAATGTGACTATTTGGTGCACAATTTCCTAAAAATCGGACGAATATATATAGGGGAGCTATATCTAAATCTGAACCGATTTTCACCAATTTCAACCCTATTGGGGCAAATAAATTATTTGTGCCAAATTGTATCTCATTCAGATAATAAATGCGACGTGCACTTTCTTTACAATTTAACATGGACAGACTAACGGACAAGCATAAATCGGCTCAGAAAGTGATTCTATGCATATTCTCAAAAGGAACCATGGGTCTATCTCGTTTCCTTTTGCCTGGTACAAACATATGCACAATGACCAATACCCTGTACCACAGTGTGGTAAAGCGGTCTCATATATTTGTATTCTAAAAAATGTTCTATGGATCTTCAGCCTTCAATATGTCTTCAAAAGATCAATTTCGACGGCCTTCTATTTATGAAAGGACTTCTATTAATATATTGAAGTCCTTTCATATCTCCTATAAAAGGTCTTCTATCGATCTGTATACCTTCAATAGATTTTCATCCTTCGAAAATATTGTTTTCCCTATATACGTCTTATAATATATGAAAATCCTTCCATTAGTGGTGTGAGATGCTTCGTGGTCGTCTAATTCATTTCAAATCCTCCTCTTACTTTTTATGCATTTTTCGAAATGCAAGAGAGCAGAACTAATTTACATACTGGCATTTTGGTATGCATTTTTAAAACAGAATGCATGATGAAAATGCTTTAAAAAATAGAAAAGTAAAATATTTACGAATTAGCATGAATGAATTAATTTGTTGGTGCAGCTGTTCGACGGAGCTTTAGATTTTATGCAACAGTGCCGTGCGAACCAGATACATTAGAATCGTTGGGAGGTTTCCACTCAACAATACAAAAAAGGTTTTCAAGTGAAAATATGTAAAATCGAATGCCATTTATTATAAATCGAGAATCAATCGAAAATGTGGGGACAATGGTGAAGAAATTTTTGGATAATTACAATATGACCTTCAAAAACAAAACAGTAAGGAAAGTAGTAAAGTTAGATTGGGCCGACTATATGACACACTTCACCACTTTGGGTATTTTCGAACTTAAATATTTGACCGCCATTTATATGTGAACCGACTAACATTAATCCATACACTTGCCATTCTGCAACCTATGCTAAATTTCATTTCAATCGAGCAGATTTCGAGGCATTTACGTACAATGGGACAAATTTATGTAAATTGATGTAAAGCAAACTTGACACACACTATTCTGGATGCTGCACTGTTTCAAATTTAATCTCACGTCCGAAAATATATATGGAAGCTATGTCTGCATCTGAACCAATTTCAATAAAACGTAATAACGACATTCTAGTCTCAATTTGATGCGTTGTGCAAAACTTCCTGTCAATCGGACAAACATTAGGAATTTCATGCATCATTTACCTAAATCGGATGAAAATATATATGGGAGCTATAGCTAAATCAAAACCGATTTTCACGAAACTTAGCACACATCATTCTAGACTCCATTCAGTGCGCTATGCAAAATTTCATGAAAATCGAAAGATATATAGGGACTTTGGTGCACAATTTACATAAAATCGGATGGAAATATATATGGGAGCTATAGATAAATCAGAACCGATTTTCACGAAACTTAGCACACATCATTCTAGACTCATTTCAGTACGCTATGCCAATTTTCATGCAAGTCGAAAAATATATAGGGACTTTTGTGTACCATTAAATAAAATCGGACGAAAATATATATGGGAGCAATATCTAAATCTGAACCGATATTAACGAAATTTATCACACATCATTCCAAACTCATGGAGTATAGGATAGATGTACCATAGGGGTTTTTGGAAATTCGAACAAAAAGTATACGAAAAGTACTAAAGTGTACGAAATTTGTTACAATTTTGTAGCTTGTGGAGGAATAGAGCTAAAACATTAAATTTCGAATGCGAATCAAGTAGCTATGATCGATATAAGGAGGTGGTTGTAGATGTGGGTTCTCATGTATACGAAAAATACTAAACCGTACTAAATTTGGTACAATTTGAATTTTTGTGAAAATGATGAAGCTGGAATCCTGAAATTTGAAATTAACATTAACTTTGGAGTGTCGAATGGGGATATGTAGTTGGTTTCGGAAATTTTTATTTTTATGTACGAAAAGTACTAAATAGTACTAAATTTGATACAATTTGGATTTGGTTGAATCGATTGAGCTGAAATCCTGAAATTTAGAAATAAGATTACTATTGCATTGTAGAATTGGTGTTGGTAGGATCGGGGTATTTAGGAAGTTTTGGAAATTTTTACTAATGTGTACTAAATTTGGTATAATGTGAATTTAGGTAAACCGATATAGCTGGTACACTGAAATTTGGAAAAAAAATTATTGTTGGAGTAGTTTTGGAAATTTGTACTTATGGGTACTAAATGGTACAATTTGGTATTAGAGCTGGAGTAGTAAAAATTTTAAATTAAGCTTACTGTTGGAGAGTAGAATTGCGGTATGTAGATAGTTAGATGAATTCGTACTTATGTGTACTAAATTTAGAACAATACTAAATATTTGGAATATAACTGTTGGAGTGTAGAATTGAGGTATGTAAATAGTTTTGGAAATTCGTACTTATGTGTACTAAATGGTACTTAATTTGGTACAATTTGGATTCAGGGTAAACCGATAGGTCTGGAATCCTGAAATTGGCAAATAAGATTTCTATTGGATTCTATGATGTAGGTAGTAATGGAAATTTGTACTTATGTGTACTAAGTGGTACTAAATGGAATTAAGATTATTATTGAAGTGTATGATTGGAGTATGTTGGAAGTATTGGAAATTCGTACTTATGTGTAGTAAATGGTACCAAATTTTCTGCAATTTGGATTTGAGATAGGCGATGTATATTGGATTGTTGGGTTGGGTACGTATGGAAATATATATTAATTTAGTACTAAATTTGGGAAATTTTTGATTTAGAGCTCGAATCAATTGAATTAATTTTGGAAATAAGTATCAGAATAGTATAGCATAACTAAATTGAGAGTAAGTGTGGGTGAGCGTAACTGAATTCATTTTTAAAAACGGCTGACGAAAAGAGAAAACCAGTAAGGAAAGTAGTAAAGTCGGACTGGGCCGACTATATGATACCCTTCACCACTTTGGATATATTGTACATATGTATCCTTACAATTGCATGTTTAATTTTATTCGGGCAGATTAAGAGTCGTCAGAGTACCATGGGACGTATTTATGGAAAACAATTTGTAACAAAATTTATATACACTATTCGGTACGCCCCACTGATAAAAATTTAATCGCAATCAAACACCCGTTCGAAATAAATATGGAGGCTATGGCTGCATTTGCACCAATATATATGTATGTGTGGGAGCTCTATCGAAATCTGAACTGATTTTCACGAAACTTAACACACATCGTTCCAAACTTTGCATTTCTTGCAAATCGAAGGATATATAGGGACTTTGGTGCACCATTTACCTTAAATCGGACGAAAATATATATGGGAGCTATATCTAAATCTGAACCGATTTTCACGAAACTTAACACACATCGTTACAGGCTTAATTCAGTACAATATGTAAAATTTCGTGCAAATCGAAGGATATAAAAGACTTTGGTGCACAATTTACATAAAACATATATGGAGAAAAATATATATCGGGCGAAAATATATATGGGATCTATATCTAAATCTGAACCGATTTTTTTCCAATTTCAATAGGGTTCGTTCTTGGGCCAAATAAATGAGCTGTGTCAAATTTCATCCAATTCGAATCAAAAATGCGACCTGTACTTGGTTTACAATTTAACATGGACAGACGGACACACCGACGGACATGCATGAATCGACTTAAAAAGTGATTCTATGCAAATTCTCAAAAGGGACCATGTGCCTATCTCGTTTCCTTTTGCCTGTTACAAACATATGCACAAAGACATAATAATAAAAATAGGATGCTCAGTTGCTGGTATAAATGGTACCATATTTAGTATTGAGCTAGATTTCTCTTGCGGTCAGATTTGGTGTGCAGCGTTTCTAACAGCAGGTATAAAAAGGTTGTTGTATAGGTTATCAACATGGTCTCTTTATGAGCTCCCAAAGTACTGCCGGTTTCTGAATTAAGAACCTTGTTCTTGCCATTTTTTAGTAGCCGGAATTATGGAAACATCGACCTGTACAATGTTCTTTTCTTCGAACTGTCGATATAAATAATTAGTGTACCTATTCGGATCTGTCGCATCAACGCCGTTAAACGCGACAAAAGTCCGATTATTCGTCAATTTTGTCAATATTATATTTCATGATGAGCGTTAAAATCGCCACGGTAGCAAACTGTATAATTTTAAAAACTATTACAACAAATTTCCAAATATATAACCTACAAATAAAAATTAATCAATTTTTTTATTTCACAAGAACAATTCGTATCAAGGTATTATTTATTGTTTTTGTTGTGTTTTTATTTTATGTAATTCCATTTTATTTATTCATTTAAAAGCCAGTACATATGTAAAATAACTGAAATATTCAAAGAATATATAATAATTATATAATATCCCATGGGAATTTCTCATATTCAATCCAAATACACATTCACACAAAAAGATAAGAAAATTAAGAAAATACATTAAAAATTTCTAACAAAAAAAGAGGGTGGGAGAAACCAATTTCATTCCTATTTTCATTTATTCGGCATCTGACACGGACGATCTTGTATGTTTTTTGGACTTCTTACGTTTCTTCTTCTTTTCACGTGACTTCTCATCGTTATCGTCGCTGCCAGCCTTGGCATCTGTCGCAGTTCCAAGCTCCTTGAGTTTTTCATGTTCTTGGAGTTTTTTCAGTGTCTCCTCCTTTAGTCGTTCCAGTTCTTCAAGTTCGCGTGCGGTCTTTTCTTTCTCCATATCCTCGATACGTTGTTTCTCGGCTCGTTTCTCTTCTTCCTTAGCGATTTCTTTGCGCATATGTTCTTTGAACATCAACAATGCCTCGGCACGTTTTTGTTGTTTTTCACGAGCAGCCGCTTCCGTGCTACTTTCGGCTTGAGCCGCTGATGTAGAAGTTGAAGGTTCGGTATTTTTCTTTGGTGATTGTCGATCACTGGAACGTCTATTAGATCGAGAACGTCTTGGTGATCGGGACGATGATCGATTCTTTCGTCGTTGACGACTTGCAGAGCGGGATTTTGATCTAGAATGACGATCACGGCTACGATTGCGACTACGTTGACGATCATGACTATGATCACGATCCATGCGATCCTTGTCTCGTCTATCACGTCCTCGTCGTGCTGGCGAACCGCTGCGGGATCTGCTTCGGCTACGAGTTCTGTCACGTCGGTCGCGAGATCGACGATCACGTGAACGATCTACAGACGAACGACGTCGTATTGGCGAGAGTGGAAAACGGTTGCGGAACCGATCACCTGCAGAACGTGAACGACGCCGTCTATCATTGAAGGGATTATTTCTAAATGAATTGAAATTTCTACGACGCTGTGGTGAATTGAAGCCTTGTCGGCGACCTGCCATTCGTCTATCATTGCGTATCGGTGAACGGCGACGTCGTGAATTTGATCTGGATCTCGATCGGGATTTCGAACGAGAACGGCTGCGACTACGAGATTTTGTTCGTGATTTAGAACTAGAATTGTGCCTATTACGATTATCTCTTTCCTTGGTTTTGTCTTTTTCCTTTTCAGCAAGTTTTAGTTTTTCTTTTTCGCGCTCACGCTCACGTTCTTTTTCTTTTTCCTTCTCTCGTTCTTTTTCTCGCTCCTTTTCTTTTTCCCGTTCCTTTTCTTTTTCTCGTTCCTTTTCTTTTTCCCGTTCCTTTTCTTTTTCTCTTTCCTTTTCACGCTCTCTTTCTCGTTCACGTTCCTTTTCTCGTTCACGTTCATTTTCCCTCTCCCTTTTACGATCATTTTGTGTAAATCGCGAAACGGCAACCAATGCCGATTTTGGTCGTTTTGTTTCAGCAGCATCATCTCCTCCATCATCCTCCGCCTCACTATCGGATTGATGTTCATAGTCCAAGGCATTCAGATCCATCGATTTCTTACGTTCTTTATTACGCGATGGCACTTCATCATCTTTATTCGATTTTGAAACCGTGCGTGTTCTTTCAGAATCACGATGTCTTTCGCCCCTTTCACGATCACGTGTACGATCCCTCTCATCATGTCCACGATCATCACGACGTCTACGATTATCATCCCTGCGGTCTGGTGAACCATCTTCGTTATTTTTACCACCATACGAACTGGCATGAGATAATTCAAAGAAGGATTTCTTCGGATTCTTGGCGGCTTCTTCGTGACGCTTTTTACGTTCTATTTCACGACGTCGTATTTCTTCCTCACGTATCTTTTTTTCTTCTTCGATTTTTTCCAAATCTGACATTTTAATAGTACGATTTTGTGCCCTCTTCCAATGTGGTGGTGTTGTACTGCGCGAACGAGAACGTGATGGGGTACGAAAACGCTAATTTTAAAAGAAATCTATAAATACCAGGGATCGTGACAGACTTCTAATTACAAAATACTTACGAAAACTCCTCTTCCTTTGATAATACGACCACTACGCGATGTGGGCACATTTTTCTTGGACCAACCAAAAGCATTACGTCCCTCCGTCTTACCAGCACGCTCACGTGAATTGTCACGACGATCTTCCTTATCGTGATTACGTTTTGAACCATCATCACGTAGCAAAAATTTGTTAGAAACCTAAAAGAATCAAAATATATTACAATTAATCTCAGATTTAAGGGCATTGAAGAGAATGTTATAATACCTCTGGAATTTCCGATGGATCAATCTTTGTGACTGTCACTAATGGATGTAGTTCACCCTCGTCAAGATCTGAAGCTTCACCTTCTTCAGTTTCTTTGTCAGAATTTGATCTGAAAAATATAAAAGAAATTGTCATTGAAAATTCTACTCTTAGAATATGAGAACAGCTACGCGAAGTGGTAACGATGTTCCAGCACATTGTTCTTTTTGGCACTCTCAGGTTTTAATTTAATCTGGAACTATCAAAATCTCAGTTTTTAAGGTATTTTTTCAATAGACAACTATACGAACTCAGTTTTATGCAATATAAAAAATCCGACCTCAGTTTCTAAGGTTGTTGTTATAGCAGCTTATATGAATTATATTGTTTCCTGTTTAAATTCCATCTGGTTCCGTCCCCTCCACTGGCTGTAACCAATTGAATAAGTGCAGTGTGGTTGAGGGCCCGTACCACATGCTGGGCAGGCATCCTGCAGCTGGTCATCAATCTGTGCCCAATACGAATTGAGATGACTGCACCATCCTGAACGTAATTCGGCCAAAACTACTCTGGTTTTTCTGGCCAGCTGACGTTCTTCAGCTGCTATGGGTGGGGGGGTGAGCTCCGAGGACGGCATTTAATGTGTAACCGTTCAGCGCTGCGGCTACTGCATCAGTATGAATACCATTCAGACCTGCTCGATAGGCAACTCGTGGGTGGCTATCGACAAGTTGAGGACGTTGGTAAAGTACTCGACTCCTGGCTCGTTCAGCTGTTTCAACACACACATAGATATTCCGTCAGGGCCCAACGCTTTGGATGACTTCGCGCTATTGAAAAAATCCGACCTCAGTTCCTGAGGTATATTTTGCTATAGAATAAATCCGACTCCAGTTTCTGAGTTTATTCTATAAAAAATCCGACTCCAGTTTCTAAGGTTTTAGTTTCAGTTTTTTTCTATAGAGAAAAATCAGACTTCAGTTTCAGAGTTATTTCTTGCTATAGAAAACTATGCGAACTCAGTTTTTTGCTATAGAACAAAAGCCGAACCCAGTTTCTTTGGTATTTTTGCTATAGAACAAAATCCGACCTATGTTTCTGAAGTATTTTTTGCTATAGAAACAATCCGACCTCAGATCCTGAGTTTTTTTTTTAAGAAAAATCCGACTATAGATAAAAATCCCACCTCAGCTCATGAGGTATTTTTTCTATAGAAAAAAATCCGACCTCAGCTCATTAGGTATTTTTTTCTATAGAAAACAATCCGACCTCAGTTCATGAGGTATTTTTTCTATAGAAAACAATCCGACCTAAGTTCCTGAGGTTTTTTTCTATAGAAAAAAAATCCGATCTCATTTCCTGAGGTTTTTTTTCTATAGAAAAAAATCCGATCTCAGTTCCGGAGGTTTTTTTCTGTAGAAATAAATCCGACCTCACTTCCTGAGGTTTTTTTCTATAGGCTGGGCAACTGCATATGTATGAATGGTATTCAGACTGATAGGCCTGTTGATCTGTTCACACTTCTATATTTGGATCTCTCTCGCTCTCTTTCTAAGTCATGAAAATCTCTCCTGTCGTGCCTTGGGGTTTGGGAATCCGGATTACGCAATGACAGGGGGTTCCCGACGATAATACTCAAACAGGTACTGCATCGACCAAATTTCATTGTGTTCCGATGAACGGTTATGGTTTCAGCCTCTTCATGAAGATGGTTCATTGATGTCATGAGAAGATATCCTATGGCAGTTATGAGAGGCAGGCCTGAATCTTCTTCTGTTTAACACTTACATTCGCAAATCTTACTGGACCCATATACCACTAGCCGACACATAGCAAGAGGTCTATGTGGACACACCCTATAACTGTCCTGAGGACGACATTCTGGCAGTTGCGTTTCACTTTCCTTAGCTTAACATAAAAACCAAAAACCAAATTTCGTTCAAATCGAAAGATATATAGGGACTTTGGTGCACCATTTACATAAAATCGGACGATACTATATATGGGAGCTATATATAAATCTGAACCGATGTTCAGGAAACTTAACACACATCATTCTAGGTCTAATTCATTACGATGTGCCAAATTTCGTGCAAATCGAAAGATATATAGGGACTTTGGTGCACCATTTACATAAAATCGGACGATACTATATATGGGAGCTATATCTAAAACTGAACCGATTTTCAGTAAACTTAACACACATCATTCTAGGTCTAATTCATTACGATGTGCCAAATTTCGTGCAAATCGAAAGATATATAGGGACTTTGGTGCACCATTTACATAAAATCGGACGATACTATATATGGGAGCTATATCTAAAACTGAACCGATTTTCAGTAAACTTAACACACATCATTCTAGACCTAATTCATTATTCTGTGCCAAATTTCGTGCAAATCGCAAGACTTTGGTGCACCATTGTGCACCATTTACATAAAATCGGACGACACTATATATGGGAGCTATACCTAAATCTGAACCGATGTTCAGGAAACTTAACACACATCATTCTAGGTCTAATTCATTACGATGTGCCAAATTTCGTGCAAATCGAAAGATATATAGGGACTTTGGTGCACCATTTACATAAAATCGGACGATACTATATATGGGAGCTATATCTAAAACTGAACCGATTTTCAGTAAACTTAACACACATCATTCTAGACCTAATTCATTATGCTGTGCCAAATTTCGTGCAAATCGCACGACTTTGGTGCACCATTTACATTAAATCGGACGAAAATTTATATGGGAGATATATACAAATCTAAACCGATTTGCAGGAAACTTCACACACATCATTCTATACCTAATTCATTACGCTGTGCCAAATTTCGAGCAAATCGAAAGATATATAGGGACTTTGGTGGACCATTTACGTTAAATCGGACGATAATATATATGGGAGCTATTTTTGCCAATTTCAATAGGGTTCGTCCTCGGGCCAAATAAGTGACCTATGCCAAATTTCATCCAGTTATTGCAGTTCTAAGGGCGGAATTTTTGGAAGGTCTGAATCTTCTTCTGCTTAACACTTACATTCGGAAAGCACTCGCCTCATATACCTCTAACCGACTACAATATGTCCACCAACCGACATATTGTATATCGGAGAATATTTGTAAATAAAACTGATCTAAAATACGTTTTCAACTTACTTATCTTTATCCTCGGATTTGGATCGTTTTTTATCCTTCTTTTTCTTTTTCTCCTTACGTTTAGATTGCTTCTCATCATCGGAATCACTGGCAGCCGATTTGTCATCATCCGATGAAGCGGCACGTTTCTTTTTCTTCTTATCTTTTTTAACTGTAAAAAAACAAGACACAAATTACAAACATATCCAACGTTCAATGTTGCTCAACATACTTTTAATCTGTTTTATCAATTCGCCACAATTGGCTACAATAACATCTTGCAATGGTCTGGAATTACGATCAACTGGCAAATCTTCAATTTGACGTACTAATTCTTGTCCCGATACAACTTGACCGAAAACAACATGGACACTAAAAAGAAGTAAACCAAAACAGGTTAGTGAATAAAATTGAATTGGGATCGATTTTAAACTTACTTGTCCAAATGTGGTGCAGGTTGTGTAGTACTATAATGAAAAACAGAAGAAGAGAAAAAGTTTCTTTACACTTTGTCATATTTTACAACAGTTCAACAGTAGGTAGTAGGTTTGTTTGTTTTTTTGGCTATTTTTTTGGTCTCGATTGAAATGGCTGAAGTAGAACACTTATAATTGTTTCTAACATTTTTTGTTTGGTAATTTTTTTGTGGTGGATATGAATGCAAAATAATTTCTACATTATAGCAATAACTAGTTTCCAATGGGCGCAAAAGCATCTCTTCTGATGGGAGATCATCATCTTTTTTGTTGTTGATGTTGTGTAGTTATAACAGCATTTTTGGAAACCAAGAAAAGTGATGTCTGCGTATGTGTATGGCCACACACACACCCTCAATTATAGTTGGATTTGAGAATCCTCCAATAAGTCTCACACCTAGAACCATTTGGCAGCAAACACACGTCACAAAGCATGTTCAACGTGCCAACAAAATATCCAGTGATTAGAAATCAAACTCCATAGATGCATGCAATCTGGATAGATATACTCCTCCTGTTGTCCTCAGCCATAAAAATCCTGACATTATGATTATGTGGAGGGGGGAGGGGTGCATTGATTGCAGTTACCCTGCTCTAAAGCTCATGACGTGGTGGTCATCATTTTGCTAAATTAATTAACAAATCATTAAATATTATAGTACAATAGTAGCAAACAACAAACATTATTGTGATGATTAATATTCTTGAAAAAAAAAATATATACAAAAATAATACAAAAATTGGAATATAAACTTTGCTGTAAGTAAACTGTAGATTAATTGGCCGCAATATCTGCAAATTATATGAACATTTCACATATGTTGCTACTTACATAAAAAATTGTGAGCCATTGGTATTTTTACCACGATTGGCCATGGACAACAAAAAAGGACGATCATGTTTTATATCAAATGTTTCGTCTGAAATTAAAAAATATGTTTTATTAATTAATATTATTATTTAATATTATTTAGAATCGAGAAAATTTTTATTTAAATTCTCATCCGTCCGTCTGTCTGTCCTTGTCAAATTGTAAACAAAGTACAGGTCGCATTTATGATTCGAATTGGATGAAATTTGGCATAGGTCAATTATTTGACCCAAGGACGAACCCTATTGAAATTGGGAAAAATCGGTTCAGATTTAGATATAGCTCCCATATATAGTATCGTCCGATTTTATGTAAATGGTGCATCAAAGTCTCTTTATATCTTTCGATTTGCACAAAATTTGGCGTAGCGTACTGAATTAAGTGCAGAATGATGTGTGTTATGTTTCCTGAAAATCGGTTCAGATTTAGATATAGCTCCCATTTATATTTTAGTCCGATTTAATGTAAATGGTGCACCAAAGTGCCTATATATTTTTCGATTTGCACGAAATTTGGCACAGCACAGGGATGTGAAATGAAATTATTCAAATTGTACTGGCTTTCAATAAAAAGTTTACTTTTTTTCAGTCCGATTGTACTTTTAAATATTTTTTAATAAAATTTTTGTTATTAACAATTAATAATAATAAAGAATTCATTTTTATATACTTATAGATAAGATGAACACTTGTTCTACGTACATTTAAGTCTTATATATAAAGATTTTTTAAGAACACAATTCTATTCGGTTTTAGATCGAAATAAAAAGATCAATTAATTAAAACTTTTTTGCAACATATTCTTATGTATCGTTGTTTAATAATATTTTGATATGAAAATACTCTTTCCTCATTTGTAGATGTATGTGGAATATATAAAAACCCTCTAAAATTTGTGATAGATAAGGAAACATATCTTCGTTTAGTTCATTTTTCACTTCAGCCACCTTTGACCTACAAGTGCATATATTGTCGTTTTTAAAAGACTTAATAAATTCTACGTGCATTCTGGCATCCTCAGACTGCATTTATAATTTGATATTATTTATAATTTTTAGTACACATTGTAAGAACAGAAATAACAGTAACAAGTGAAAAAAGCTTTAAGTTCGGCCGGGCCGAACTTTGGATACTCTGCACCGTAGGTATACTGAGAATTTCGAACCCAATATTTTAGTTTTGTATCTCCATTCTTTTCTTCAGGAGGTATGATTAAATGTAGTAGATGCCTAAACGCCTGCCGATATATTTCATTATCGTAAGGTTCGAGTTTTTTATCGCGATATCTTTAGATGACGGAATGAACAATAGATGGTTAAATCGTCTTAAAATTCCACACTTTGTAGGGTAAAAACTGATTATTCCGAGTAACGAATATCCCCCATACTATGGCAGAATACGCCTATATGGGGACAAACCCAACACACGGAAAAAATAGCTAGCTATTTTAGTATAAAAAGGGGGTTATATGGGGACTACCCCATATACTGAAGTACACCATAAAACACTGAAAATTGGGGTTACCGTTATATGGGGGCTACAAGAAAAAGTGAACCTATATTTATAATTTTGGTACCCAATGTATCAATGTTCAGCGTATTCGGTTGAAAAACGCACTCAAGAACCCCAAAATACCGATGGTGGGTTACCCTAATATGGTAGCTATGCCTAAACGTGGACCGATATAGCACATCTTCGAAGCTGACCTGCCTGCAGACAAAAGAGGTCTATATGCGACTTTGGCGATCTACCTCAATTAGCTTAGATGCTAGAGTGATTACAACAGACAGACGGGTCGGAAATGATTAGTTCGATGAGTTACAAACGGAAATATAAAATTAATATACCCTGCATACTATGGTGGAGGGTATAAAAAGGTTTGAAAATTCTGAAATAATAGAATTCAGCCTTAACGTTTGGAAATCAGCTTCAAAATTGTTTCAACAACTTCTTGCGCCAAAATTGTTTCAATAACTTCTTGACGTGAAAGCCATCGAGTTGTTGAGTATTTAAAAAAATATGAATTATTCCTGAACCATTGAAAAATCATCTCTCTCATAGAACTGTTGCAGAAATAATAATTAATGTTTTTACTGCATTTATCAATCTGATCGGAATTTTGAGGCGGCACGTTTAATCTATGGCAAATTCATCCATTCGTAACGACAGCGGGGGAAGGCGATTCATTTCATATTGTATGTTTAAGCACTTATAATACTTTTAAGTGAGAATAATTTGATACAGTTTAGAAATAGTGCTGAATATGTCATTGGGGTGCTATTGTATTTTTGACTTCCAAATAGTGCTAAAATCAGTACAATTGTACCAACTTTTGCATCCCTGGCACAGCATAATGAATTAGGTCTAGAATGTGTGTTAAGTTTCCTGAACATCGGTTCAGATTTAGATATAGCTCCCGTATATAGTATCGTCCGATTTAATGTAAATGGTGCACCAAAGTCCCTTAATATCTATCGATTTGCACGAAATTTGGCACAGCGTTCTGAATTAGGTCTAGAATGTGTGTTAAGTTTCCTGAAAATCACCCATATATATTTTCGTCCGATTTAATGTAAATGGTGCACCAAAGTACCTAAATATCTATCGATTTGCACGAAATTTGGCACAGCGTCTAGAATGATGTGTGTTAAGTTTCCTGAAATCGTTGGAATCGGTTCAGATTTGGATATAGCTTATATATCTGACGAAATGAGGAATTTAGTATAGGTTGCAGAATGACATGTTTATGGATCCAATTTCATTTTACTGGTGCTTTAAAAATTCTACGTAATATTTGTTTTATCCTTCACCAAAACGAAAGACTTAATTAAGCTCTTGGGACGTCAAATCATTCCAAAATATATTTTTGGAAGGTACCGTATATGGTAGTTATTTCAAAATATAGAACATTTCCTACAAAAATGGTTTACCTCCTATGAAATTGGAATGACAAAACAAGGACCGATGTATCCCATATTCTATATCAAACATCTTAAATGTCTGCATCTCCATGCTTAAATGAGTTTAAAAATGGATGTGAAAATAAAAACGATTTTAACTAGCGAAGACACAAACCGAATTATACACCACCATACAGTATAACAGTTATATTGATCAGTATAACACAATAGTGTGAAGTTAAAAACGAATTATATCAACGAAATTTAGTAAATTTATTTTATGAATCCTATCATGCAAAATCTGGGAGGGATAGGTCCATATGGAAGGTACCATTGTAAAGCCCACGAAGAGTACTTTAAGAAAAAATTATACCCAGATCATTTCATTTCGCAAAATTTTGAAAAAAATAATTTTTAATTTTTTTCAAGAAGTTATCATCGAATGCCACTGTGCAAAATCTGGGAGGGATAGGTCCATACGGAAGGTACCATTGGAAAGCCCACGAAGAGTACTTTAAGAAAAAATTATACCCAGATCATTTCATTTCGGAAATTTTGAAAAAAAAAAAAATAATTTTCATTTTTTTCAAGAAGTTATCATCGAATGCCACTGTGCAAAATCTAGGAGGGATAGGTCCATATGGAAGGTACCATTGGAAAGCCCACGAAGAGTACTTTAAGAAAAAATTATACCCAGATCATTTCATTTCGGAAATTTTGAAAAAAAATAATTTTCATTTTTTTCAAGAAGTTATCATCGAATGCCACTGTGCAAAATCTGGGAGGGATAGGTCCATATGGAAGGTACCATTGGAAAGCCCACGAAGAGTACTTTAAGAAAAAATTATACCCAGATCATTTCATTTCGGAAATTTTGAAAAAAATAATTTTTAATTTTTTTCAAGAAGTTATCATCGAATGCCACTGTGCAAAATCTGGGAGGGATAGGTCCATATGGAAGGTACCATTGGAAAGCCCACGAAGAGTACTTTAAGAAAAAATTATACCCAGATCATTTCATTTCGGAAATTTTGAAAAAAATAATTTTTAATTTTTTTCAAGAAGTTATCATCGAATGCCACTGTGCAAAATCTGGGAGGGATAGGTCCATATGGAAGGTACCATTGGAAAGCCCACGAAGAGCACTTTAAGAAAAAATTATACCCAGATCATTTCATTTCGTAAATTTTTAAAAAAATAATTTTTAATTTTTTTCAAGAAGTTATCATCGAATGTCACTGTGCAAAATCTGGGAAGGATAGGTCCATACGGAAGGTACCATTGGAAAGCCCACGAAGAGTACTTTAAGAAAAAATTATACCCAGATCATTTAATTTCGGAAATTTTGAAAAAAAATAATTTTTATTTTTTTTTCAAGAAGTTATCATCGAATGCCACTGTGCAAAATCTAGGAGGGATAGGTCCATATGGAAGGTACCATTGGAAAGCCCACGAAGACTACTTTAAGAAAAAACTATACCCAGATCATTTCATTTCAGAAATTTTGCAAAAAAAAATTTTAATTTTTTCAAGAAGTTATCATCGAATGCCACTGTGCAAAATCTGGGAGGGATAGGTCCATATGGAAGGTACCATTGGAAAGCCCACGAAGAGTACTTTAAGAAAAAATTATACCCAGATCATTTCATTTCGGAAATTTTGAAAAAAATAATTTTTAATTTTTTTCAAGAAGTTATCATCGAATGCCACTGTGCAAAATCTGGGAGGGATAGGTCCATATGGAAGGTACCATTGGAAAGCCCACGAAGAGTACTTTAAGAAAAAATTATACCCAGATCATTTCATTTCGGAAATTTTGAAAAAAATAATTTTTAATTTTTTTCAAGAAGTTATCATCGAATGCCACTGTGCAAAATCTGGGAGGGATAGGTCCATATGGAAGGTACCATTGGAAAGCCCTCGAAGAGTACTTTAAGAAAAAACTATACCCAGATCATTTCATTTCGGAAATTTTGAAAAAAAAAAATTTTAATTTTTTCAAAAAGTTATCATCGAATGCCACTGTGCAAAATCTGGGAGGGATAGGTCCATATGGAAGGTACCATTGGAAAGCCCACGAAGAGTACTTTAAGAAAAAATTATACCCAGATCATTTCATTTCGGAAATTTTGAAAAAAAAAGTAATTTTC